GTTTTTTATTCATTCATTCAATTATTTTTACCGACATTGTTATCTCCTTCCTCTGGTTTTGCTCTCAAAGTGACATTATTGTTCATCCAATTCAAAGAATCTTTTCTTATTTCTGGATTCTTGTAAGGTGAACTTGAGAATTCTTTGTTTTATGAACATTGGATCTTTTTGGAATTTATTTTAGAATTTCTATTGAAGTTTAGTTGTAACAAATGTTTGCTCCGACTAAGCGCTGGCGTCGTTGGCACCGTCCTGTCAATGTCAATTAAAAAAGACACGCAATTGTCTCCGCGATTGCTGCAACCTCTGTTCCTGCTCTTGTAATGGCTCGTGGACATCGGATCGAGTATTGGTGCAGCGATTAAGGTTTTTTAACAGATTGGTGCTTATGCAGACGCTGAGAAGGCTAAGGATAGTATTGGAATTCGTCCTGGTAAAGGTATAATGAGGAATTGTAGATACATTTCTCGTAAAGGTCCGTTGAATTGTTTATGGAACAGAAGGAGCTAAGTTAGTGAAAGCGTTTAGGAACATTCCTGGAATCGATTTATGTCATGTTGAGACTTGAGTTTGCGTAAACTTGCTCCTGGTGGTCACTTGGGTCGTTTGGTTATATGGACTAAATCGGCTTTCGAGAAGTTAGAATCGGTTTACGGATCATTTGAGAAGCCATCGGAGATGAAGAAGGGATATGTTTTGCCTCGTCCTAAGATGGTAAATGCTGATCTTGCTAGGATCATCCATTCTGATGAGGTTCAGAATGTTGTTAGGCCGATTAAGAAGGATTTAAGTAGAGCTGTGATGAAGAATGTTGGGGTCGGATTTCACCCGCTCAACGTCAGCGTTCAAATCTTGACCAAACTAAGACTCTTGCCGCCTAAGATAATATGACCCCTAAGTCATCTCGCAGGATGAAACAAGTGATCGCCTTAGGTCTCTTGGATCCACCAACGACCATCACCGAGGACCCAACGTGGAATGGCACCGATGATATCTCGATAAGGAAGGAAGCTGTTCACATCGGTGTCACTGTTCACATCGGCGTTACTGTTCACATCGGTGTCACTGTTCACATCGGCGTTACTGTTCACATCGGCGTCACTGTTCACATCGGTGTCATTGTTCACATCGGTGTCACTGTTCACATCAGCGTCACTGTTCACATCGGCGTCACTATTCATCTCGGGACACTATTCACATCTTGTCACGTCTCCGGGGCGAGCGACGAAGTCATCCAAGATCCGTTGACATTGGACCCGATGGCGATGGACCCGATGACCGATGTCTACGGCGGCACGAAGAGGACTCGAGTCAATGACCTCTCGACACCCACGAAATGGCGGTGACAATCAACTGGGTTGGGCTTCTCCTCTCGACCAGTTAAGACAGCAAGCCCAGTCCAGTCGCGAAACCCACTTCGGCGAAACCGACATAGGCGAAGAGGGAATCCGCGAAGACTTAGGAAACTTAGCCGACTTAGGAACGTTATATATAATTGATGAAAAAACCCTTGTAAAGGTATCCGCAACTCTTTTGACAAAAGCATACACARCAATAACAAACGTTTCTCTTTGCTCATCGTTTCTCTCGTAGCTTAGCCTAGAAATCTCTGTCTCTTCACGAAACCCTTACAAATCTAATTGTGCTAGTTTCGACTCCCACAAAGAAGAATCCTCTTAAGAACTTGAATGTGATGTTGAAGCTTAACCCTTATTCCAAAACTGCGAGAAGGATGTCTCTGTTAGCTGAAGCTGAGAGAGTAAAATCCAAAAAGGAGAAGCTTGAGAAGAAGAGGAAACCCATCTCAAAAGTACAGTATAATATTTTCTGTTCTTCTCTTAGTGATGAATGACTCTCTTCTTCTTAGGGTGTCTTGCATTGGATGTGTCATTCTTCTATATACTAGATTTGTCTATCTATGATTGAATCGACTGTGGAATTCCTCCATTGAACTCATGTCTACATACTCTGAGCTCGTAGATTGTATCATCGTTAGTGATTTGGTCAAAGATTATGTTTTCTGTAATTGTTATTGGGTTTATTAGGAATTGCTATTTAGTGATGAGCTTAGAATCTTGTGGTGTGTTTGATATGTCTTGTGTCATTGATCTTCTTCTTAATCCCCGTGTCTTGCAGGAGAAATCAGCCAAGATCAAAGCAGCAGGAAAAGCGTGGTAACAGCGACTACACTGAGTTTGATAACTTCACCAAGTGGCTCGGTGTGAATCAGTAATATCTACTTCTTTTTTTGCTTTATCAGTCTTCGTTCGTTTTTATGTCGCTCTCCTGCTTTACCATGGTAAATCTATATCAATTCATTTGCCTAATGTTAGATTCCTTCTAACACAACTCTCCACTAAATAATCTGTTACTGGACTTTCGTAGAATAAAAGGTCATTTTTATGTTACTTTGAATCAAGTAGCCCAATATTATTAGTTCTATACGACGTGCTTAAATACTTCGTCAAGTGTATACAAATTATTTTAGTCAATATAGAATGAGAAGTCGTCTCCTACAAAACTAAAAACTTTCTTTAAAATAGATATAATTGGATTAAAAATTGCCAAAAACTCTGAAATTGTATTTGCTTCTTACACAAGAATGCGAAGTCGTCTCCTACAAAACTAAAAACTAAGACTTAAAAATGGTA